AAAAAAATCGAACCGATGGTGCAATGGGGCGGATATGGTTTTTATTTTAATGAACCGGTTCTTGGCTGTGCGGGTATGGTATTTACGCCGTCGAACCGAAATCGAACCGATTACCCGATTAAAAAAAACAATTGAATTGATTATTGGGTTTTACACTACTTTTCTATCTAGCCCAGAACAAAATCCCCCCTCCCCCCAATTACATCTACATGACTCAGCCGACCAACCCACTTATCATTAGCCCATAATAATAGCATTAATATGACATTATATAAATGCGAACCCTACTCTCCACAAACCACAAATTCACGCACAGTTCCTTTTATTGTTAATTTTTTTCTATTGTGTGTAGAAAATTCTACTTTTTTATCATACTCAAGAGCTTGTGCAACGTTTAGCGAAAAGAAAGCTGACGAAGAGGTATATTTTTTTTATTTAAATCTCAGTTAAAACCATTCTAGAATAGGTAGTATCGTTGTATTTTCTACTTACATTTCTTATTTACTATATAGGAATCAACTTTGAGTGTTGATCTATGCTAGTAGGATTTGTGGAGAAGAATGAATCAAGTAATTTCGATGCACAATAATTAAGAATGAAGAAAATGTTTAGTATTGTTATATTTATAATATTGTTTGTTAAATTTGTATTTTACAATTGAAAATTAGAATAATGTTTTCTTTTTCGTTTGAAATATTGTTTGATAATGTTTACATTTTCGTTTAAAATATTGTGTTTTTGTTTTCATTGACTTTTTTCATAAATTATTTTATATCAATTTGATGGATGAACCTATAAAAAATAATTTATTTTCGTGGTTATTAATCGAACCGAACCGTGCCGAACCGAGATAATAACCGAAGCGATTTACGTGGTTATGGTGCGGTTATGGTATTGTCAAAAATTGGTGGTGCGGTTATGGTTTTGGCCGAACCGACCCATAACCGAACCGTTGCCAACCCTAGTATCAGGAACAAACGATATATGTCCGAGAATTATGTTCTCAATTAAATTGCAAATATCGTTATATGGATTAAAACAATCCGGGCGCATGTGGTATAATTGTTTTAGCAAATATTTGTTGAATGAGGGTTATAAAAAATAATAATGTTTGCCCATGCGTTTTCATAAAGAAAACAGATATTGAATTTGCAATTGTGGCAGTTTATATTAATAATTTAAATTTAATTGGAACTTCTGAAGAATTCAACAAAACTGCAGATTATTTGAAAAATGAATTTGAGATGAAGGATTTGAGAAAAATCAAATGTTGTCTTGAATTGCAAATTAAACATTTCACAGATAGATTATTTGTTCAATAATCTACGTATACAGAAAAAGTTTTAAAACGTTTTTATATGGATAATGCACATTCATTGGCATCATCTATGGTTGTTTGATCACTTGATGTGAAAAGTGGTCCATTTCGTCTTCTTGGAAATGGTTGCAAATTGCATTCGACCCGACATAACTTTTTCTATAAATCTCCTTGCAAGATATAACTCTACACCAACTCGAAAACATTGGAATGGTGTTAAACATATTTTTCGTCACCTTAAGGGCACAATTGATTTGGGATTATTTTATTCTCAAAAGTTAGGATCTGCTTTAGTAGGATATGAAGATGCAAGTTATCCATCCGACCCACATAAAACTAAATCACAAACAAGAAATGCGTTTACACATGAAGGAACAGTTATATTATGGAGATCTGTGAAGCAATCATTGACAGCGACATCTTCAAATTATTCTGAAATTATTGTAATCCATAAAACAAATCAAGAATGTGTATGGTTGAGAAATATGACTCATCATATCCAAGTATCATGCGGGTTAATTTTAACAAAAGATAATCTAACAATTTTGTATGAGGACAATGCAATTTTTATTGCACAACTCAGAGAAGGTTATATCGAAAGTGACAGGACGAAGCACATTTCTCCAAAATTCTTTCATACACACGAGCTTCGAAATAATGGTAACATCGATATCCAACAAATTCGTTCAAGTGACGATGTGGCTGATTTATTCATGAAAGTACTGCCAACATCTACATTCAAAAAATTAGTTCATGAAATTAGAATGCGTCAACTCAAAGATCTTCAGTAATCCACATCAGGGAGAGTAGCTGTACTCTTTTTCCTTCGTTTAGGTTTTATCTTACTAGGTTTTCCTAAAAAGATTTTAATATGGCAGCATTTATTTTTAGTATTCCAAAATAACTATACTCTTTTTTCTTCGTTTGATTTTTCTCCATTGAATTTTTATCAAACAAGATTTTAACGAAGCAGATATTTTGTAACGTATCATTCAGAAGGGATTGTTGTAAAATGTAAGTTTATTAGGTAGGCTGTGATTCATAATAAAATATGCACAAATCTATTGACTTCTCTCTGTTCTTTTCTCTTTTCTTCTTTTTTATAACAATAATTAGAAGAAAAAATAAGTTAATTTTGCCCTCTCCCATAACCAATGGACGAGTAAATTGATTCTGACTACATTGATTTTTTTGGTATTAAAATTTGTGGTTCACTATATCGAAACGTTACGAGCAGAGGATTTATAAATCTAATATCACATTCACTAAATATTTATAATGCATATACAGAATGTATCTCTTGTCGATGAATTAGAAATGATGTAATTTTTAATTAATGCTTGATTTTGATTTGTTAATTGACACCTTTGAAAGTGTTTTAAAGATCCAACTTACATTTAACTTGTTTGGCACAAATAAAGTTTTAAAAATTGTTCATCCATAATTACTTGTAAAAAAAAAATAAAAAAAAAGTGAAAACTTGGGTATATTATTTTCACAATCAAACTTGTATCGAATGAGCCACTCAACTCAAAATAAGTTATTTGTAAATTTGAAGTTTATTTTAAGGCCCTGACATTTGTGCTTATTTTATCCAGTTTCTCTCTGTAATGACAATTAAAATTATTACTAAAGGATAAAAATCTTAACAAAACTTAGCAACATAGCACAAGCAAGCAAGCAAGCATTGTAGCCAGTGAGGAGGAGTTTGTTGAATTGATCTTTTGAATAAAATACATACCAGCATGAGCTGGGTTATTTGTATCAATTTCTGACTAAAAATAAATGTTGAGATTTTCGTAAAAATTGCTGGATCCAAGCTAATTTTTGTGCCGACCAACTAGCCTGCCTGCAAGTATTCTCATCCTTTGGCAAGTTGCCATATGTCAGATTTAGGTGACACGCGTTCCATTTATAGAGAAATAATGCCATCTAACACCAGTGATACTAGAGTATTTTAATATGTTCAATTAAATGAATAATGTGGCATTACAAGTAAGTGAATTTATCGATTAATTGACACTATACTAGTGCTGACACTACTAGTGTTGAATATAACATCACTATTTAGAGAGAGAGAGAGAGAGCACAAATATCAGAATCCTAAAACTAACTAATCATATATTTTTGAGATGAATGGCTCATTTGTTAGAAGTTTGATTCGTGAAAATAATATACCTAAGTTTTCATTTTTTGTAAGTAGAACAATTTTGATAACTTTATTTGTACGTTTGATCTTTAAAACACTTTCAAAAATGTGTCAATTAACAACTCAACATCAAAAAGTAGATGATTTCTCGCAGTGTGAGGGTTCGATTCCTGAAACATGGATTGAAACTCTTTGTGGGCACTAGTATAAAGACAGCTCTTGTTTTCTGACCTGTTGGGGCACATCTCTCGATTAACCTCTCTCACGATACTCCAGGAACGAAGCGGTGGAGGACCCTTAAAATTGATGTTCAACTTTTTTTAGATGATTTCTAATTTCCCAGCAAGATATGTTGAGTCATGCATCATGAATATTTAGTAAATGCGAAATTATGTCTATAAACCTTTTTCTCATGAAATTTTATATAGTGAATCATTAGTTTTGATACCAAACGAATCAAGATTGTCAGAATATTAATTTACATGAGAGAGGGCAAAATTAAATTTTTCTCCCCCTTCTAATTAGTACTTTGTTAATAGTTTTTATCCCAAAATAACCGAAATGGACCAACATAACATGAGATTTTTGAGCCGTGAGAAAGCCCTTTCCTCTGGCATGCTACTTGTACAAAATTGGTTTACAAAACAACATCTATACCAATAATTTCAAAAACACTTCTTTAAATCATTTGAAATCAAATGTCAAGAATCTGACAACACTTGTTTTGTCAACCATTTTTGTCAACATATTTTGTACAACTAAATTAATTGATTATTTAATAGGCCCCATTTTTTTCAAAATGCTTAGATCCGTTGATCAGCAATCATACAACTCACATTCATTCATTCGTTCAAACTCAATAAAGGCGAGAATTACATAATTGAAAAAGAGCAGACATGAAAATAATAAATAATTTGTTTGGGTCACACAATCTGACAAATTAATATAATAATATATTTTGAATCATTTTTTTCCTCGTTAATTACATATTGAAATGAGCATAAATCCAAATTAATTAAATTAAAGAATAAATTTAAGGAGTAGTTCAAATAAACACTTCACACTTTCTTTTTTTAGATCCCGTTTGGTATCCATTTTTTTCAAAATGTATTTTTTAACCGCACATTCTTTATTAAAATAATATTATACATAAATAAAAAACTTTTATTTATTTTTTAACTACATATCTTCCATCAATTTACTATTTTAAAATACATTTTTACATGAAAATGGTATCAAGCACTCTCTTACTTTGAATGATTTAACCTTCTTTTATTCTTCATTATAAAGTAATATGTTGGAGATAGTTGTACAAAATAATCCACATATTTGGACAAAGTTACCGATTTGAATTGTCGTACTTCGAATGAAGTTCTACTCCGTCAAATGAAAATGAGGTCAAAAAGACTGATCTCTACGTGTTGATAAAGTCCAAGTGGACTTTTTGATTTAAAAAATCATACCAAAGGACATTATTGGAATTTCGACTCCCTGTTTCTTGCTTTAAAAGTTCAAAAACAGAACAAGGAAGAAGAGTTTAAAATTTTCAAATAATGGATGAAGTTGTTGTATTGTTCATAGATGAGTTAAAATCATCTGCTACAATACCGATATGTAGAATATGCCATGAAGAGGAATTCGAAAGATGTGAATCCATGGAAGCTCCTTGTGCTTGTTCTGGAACTGTCAAGGTATATATCTCACATATTTCGCTTTGAATTATTGTTCTACGAATATCAATTTTCGGTTTTCAGTTTGCACACAGAGACTGCATACAGAGATGGTGCAATGAAAAGGGTAACACAACATGCGAAATTTGTTTACAGGTATGGATTTTGTTTCTCATTCTTCTGGTTTGAAACTTTCTTTCTTTTACTTCAAGTTTATTCTTAGTTTCATCTCCAAAGTACAAATAAATTCTCTTTCTAGCTCTCTGTTTTTATTTTCTATGTTCTTTGAGAGCATATATTTTTGTTATAGATGTCTCTATTTTGAAGCCAAGGAATTTGATTCTGTCATTGTCTTAACCCTGTTTCTTGGAATAAAAAAAAGTCTACTATATTGCTGCATTCTTATCTACTTCTCCAATTATTTTATTTTAAGCTAAGCAACTTTTTCATTTTCGGGTGTCCTTTAACAGATTAGATTATTTTGAAAAGTAATTTATAGTTTTTTTTTTCATTTTTTTTTTAATGCAGAAATTTGAACCAGGATACACAACTCCGCCCAAGAAAGCTCAGTTGATCGATTCAGCAGTGACCATAAGGTGTGTATGTTTTAATTGTTACGTCATATGCAATATGCACCTTCTTCACTTCACAATGATACTCAACCTTTTCCTTTCTTTTCTTTTCTTTCTTTTTTTTTTTTGAATTGCACCGGCATAGTTCACGGGAGCATTGCTTCCTTTTATATTATTCCCACAATTTAAGGTTGTAATATATTGTTTTTGCCTTTAATTAATTCAAGAGATTTTCTTGCTATTTTTTACAGGGGAAGCTTGGAAGTTCCAAGAAGGGAGCCTGAACAAGAAAATGCAGTACAAATTCTTGATTACGAATGCGCCTCAGCCGCTGATAGAAGTGCTTCTTGGTGCAGATCAGTGGCTGTAATTGTAAGCTGTTCATGCAACTTCGTTGGTTTCAATTATCCCAAACCATTTACAAACATTTGGAAGTTCATTTGCTAGAAATATAATTTAAACATGAAATTGGAACCTTAAAGATGACGAGCACAACTTAATGAAAACTTTGCAAGTGTCAGGCCTTAATAATAATAAAATAAATTCAACCTGCACGTAAGGCCAAGGCAGGTGTTGACGACAACATTCAAATAATAAATAAGCTCTAAAGCTCCACTTGCATTAGCATATTCTCAGACGATACGAGAGTCAATTTTGTTCTTTCAACGCATGGAGTTTCAAGCATTTGTACATTTCGAATTGAAAATGTTGATTTCCTATTAATTTACCATTTGCCCACTTTGCAGTTCATAGTACTACTTCTGATAAGATATTTACTGGTACTGCTTACTGGTGGAACAGGGAATTATCCATTTTCACTTCTTACAGTAAGTTCCTAATCTTTTACTGGTAATTAATGATAAATTACCATTAGCATCCTACCTAAGTTTACAGCAATACCCAATTATCTATAATTAAAATATTCACATTCTTGGCAGTTGCTTATTGTCAAGGCTGGTGGTGTACTTCTTCCCATGTACATATTAATTCGGATGATCACGACAATTCAAAGCAGCATAAGGCATCAATATCAGGTTATTTCCCTAAAACCCACCTTATTATAGATTGGTTCTGTTCAATAACTTAATCAGCCATTTTCCATTTCGGTTACAGAATTCTGACAATGATGTGTTGAGCTCTGATGAAGACGATGATGAAGATGTAGAGCAGCACGACATTGAAATACAAAACTAAACGAGTTCCTTTGAGTAATGCACCAAGTATCATTTTTTCCCTTCCGGGAGAAACGAGGATAGACAAGATTTCATAGATACATTGGAAAAGGAAAAAAAAGAAACAAGTGAGCAACTGCAAGAAAAGGAACACGTGGAAGGCAATCAAAATGCACTAAAACGATGAAATCACAGTTACGGAACTAATAAGAAGAGAAATGATCGTCCTCCGACATCTAAATTTCTTAGGTCATATATCATGCACAAGTTAGCCAAGCTTAGGATATCAAAGTGTTTACTTTTGTGAAATTTAAGATACATTGCCATCATTTTACTGATAAGCAAATCTAAACACAGTCGATCAGAGAAGAATGTTTATGTACATTGTCCATGGTTTCTGATTTTATCCAAACTACTGCTGCATTGGAATTTGTCCTATCATCCAAGAACCATGCTCCTGGTGACCACATGTTCCCTCAATCCAAAGCAAGGATCCTTTTATTTTCTCAACAGTATTAGGAATACTTTGATACTACTAATAGATGATGGGAGGAGCAAGCTAACATATAGATTACACAATGCATTAAGATGGATTTCCATCAAAGTAGTGCTGCATATTTGACTTGTGAGCTTCAGTTACTCTTCACAAGAGAAAGTCGAGATTGCATCTGGTTACAAATAGTTCTTCTGATTTGAGCAATGTGGGCATGGGGTTACAGAAAAAAACATCTTCACCTCTCGAACTATTGCAATTACCTTAAAAATTTACTCACTGGTTAATCGCGCAACATCACCGCAGACTCCTACTGCATGCAGCAAGTGTAAATCTTTAAATGAAGGTGAAGGTAACTTCCTCCAAACCAGTAGAAAGACCTTCACAAAAAAGAACCATTATTGACTTACTCTTAACAGTATTAAGTTGTGCTTTCACTGCTAGAGGAACCATCCAAACTAATTGCAACATTAGCAACTAGGAGATGGTTAAAGAAATGTAAACAGTTAATTTTTATGTATTAAACAAGAAAAATTAAAAAATAATATGATTTCAATCTAACCACCAAACATACAAATGTAATAATTACCCACTTAAACATGACAATTAAGCAGAAACAGGTTTTAATCAAGCTCAATTGCATCAAAACAAAAGAAAATATCTGAATATGGAAGCAAAGCCTCCAACAATCCCATTACCAAATAGCTGTAAATTTTTATCTTCTCATCAGCATTTTCCTTAAAGTTCAGAATCGCATTCTTTATCACTTACAATCAGCACTATTTTCGGTAGACTCTGTTTCTCCCCCATCCATTGACACTGAAAGAATTCTTAGGCGCACACACAGACATACTGCTTCAAATTTCTATCACTAGCTCAATTCCACTTCAACTTCCACTTCCTTACTCAGCATTCTTCTGTAACCCATTTTTTCGATTTTGCTGTTTTCTTCCTCAAAGTCCATTCCTCAGAACAGCTGTCATCCTCCACGGCTATACTCTCCGGGCATTTGGTCTTGTCCACTACTGAAATCCTTCGCAATCTCCGAAACTTTTTCATCACCGGCACAGCTACCCACTCAATCTTTTCCTCCGAAAGATTCAATAATTCCTCGTTGGCATCCTCATACTGCACCAAATGCTTCCCCAAAATGTCATTAAATGATTTCACCCGACCCTCGCACCAAGATTTATCAAAAGGACGATAAACCTTGATACTTTTGTCAACAACCTCTTGCTCATACAATTTCTTCGCGGATTCAGGGGTTGAAGGAGATGAGGATAAAATAGGGCTGACGGTTAGTGGTGGTTTCTTGCGCTGGAAAGACGGCGGCGTTGTTGGGCTAGGGCTTGGGTTTCGGCTGGATGTGGATTTCTGGTTAAGTTCAGGATTTTGTTTGGAGAAGAATGCGGTGATTTTCTGCCGTTCATTAATCAACGGCGACCGACCATTGCTGGATCTTTTATTTGGCGCCATTTGATGGAAGAAAAGAGGTGGTGCAAGGAAAAAATGCTGAAAAGGAAATTATAAATTACGCGCACATCTTGGCGGGAAAGAAAATTCCACAAAGGCTGCCACTAATTATTTTTCTCATTTTAGTGCTATTTCCGTAAATTTTCGTAGTTTAATCATGTAACGGCCCGGAAGGAATGAGAAAGAGAAACCCACTTTTCGGGCTAACCCAGAGTTGGCACCCTTTCTCTTTCCCGTGCTTTTCACCCACTGCAACGGTCACGCGCCACCCGCTCTTCATTCAGAAATCCACCGTCCGATCAGAAAACTCCGCTCCTCACCACTATTTCATTGATATCGAATGGCTTTTTATTTGAGAAATTCCAGGAAATCTTCCCTGTCAAATTTCCCGCGAAGTACCGCAAACAATGACCTGCCCTTCCTTAGAAGTATCGAACTACTCTCTCAAAATCACCAAAGAAACCAAGTGGTACGAAGAGGAGGAATTGAAGGGAAGCAAATTCGAGGTAGCACTCTACCCGTTCCTTCTTTGTTCGATTATTTTACAGAGAAAATTTTACAATGTATTCATTTTCAAGTTCCATACTTTTTGTTATACCCTTCTCGGCTCTTTCCTTTTCAAAGACAATTGCTATTAATCCCCCAGAAAAATCTGAAATTCCCTTCCAATTCCAGTTCTTTATTGTATGACCTATATAAATTCAGGCCCTTCTCTAGCGTTCCGTTTGGGGATTTAATGCGTTCTGATTCTGAAGCCGAGAGTGGTGATGAAAGTGAATTGAATGTTGTTGAAGATGCGCAATCAAAGGCTGATCAAAAGGAGGTGGAGAGTGTGTGTAAACTGATTGATGAAACATTTGGGATGGATCGGAATATGGAGGTAGTTTTAGATGAATGTGGGTTGAATTTGAGTCATGATTTTGTGGTTGACGTGTTGGAGAGATTTAAGCATGCCTGGAAACCTGCTTTTCGGTTTTTCTGCTGGGCTGCTCAGAGGTCTGGATTTGATCATGATTCAAGGACTTACAATGCAATGATGACTATTCTTGGAAAGACTAGGCAGTTTGAAACGATGGTGTCGGTTCTTGAAGAAATGGGTGAGAAGGGTTTGCTCACCATGGAAACTTTTATTATAGCCATAAGAGCATTTGCCGCTGCAAAAGAGAGAAAAAAGGCTGTGGGGATTTTTGACTTGATGAAGAAGTATAGGTTCAAAATTGGGGTAGAGACGATCAACTGTTTGCTGGATGCATTAGGAAGGAAGAAGCTTGGAAAGGAAGCGAAGGCTTTGTTCGAGAAGTTGGAGCATAGGTTCACGCCTAATTTGAGAACTTATAGTGTTTTGCTCAACGGTTGGTGCAGGATGAAGAATTTGATGGAGGCTGGGAAGACCTGGAATGCAATGATTGATAAGGGTTTTAAGCCAGACATTGTTGCCCATAACACAATGCTTGAGGGGTTGTTGAGAGGTAAAAAATGGTCTGATGCAATCAAGCTTTTCGAGGTGATGAAGGCCAAAGGTCCATTTCCCAACAGAAGAAGCTATACGATCTTGATCAAGGACTTGTGCAAACATGGAAAAATGAAGGAAGCAGTAGATTACTTGGATGAAATGCTTGGTTCTGGATGTGAGCCAGATGGTGCAGTATACACTTGTTTGATGACCGGGTTTGGGAATCAAAAGAAGATGGATATGGTGTATGAGTTGTTGAAGGAGATGAATGAGAAAGGATGCCCACCTGATGCCAGGACTTATAATGCTCTGATCAAAATGATGACAAATGGGAAGATGCCAGATAATGCGGTCAGGATATATAAGAAGATGATCCAGAACGATATCCAGCCGAGTATCCACACTTACAATATGATAATGAAATCTTGCTTCGTCACGAAAAACTATGATATGGGCTGTGCATTTTGGGAAGAGATGAAGAGCAAGGGCTGTTGTCCTGATGAGAACTCTTACACAGTTTTCATTGGAGGGCTTATAAGGCAGGGAAGATCTATTGAGGCTTGTAAGTATCTAGAAGAAATGATTCAGAAAGGAATGAGGGCACCTCAGCTTGATTACAATAAGTTCATAGCTGATTTTTCCCGGGCTGGTAAATCTGATATAATGGAGGAGTTGGCTCAAAAGATGAAGTTTTCTGGAAAGTTCGAGGTTGCTAATATCTTTGCAAGGTGGGCTGAGATGATGAAGAGAAGAGTCAAGAGTAGAGATGCCCCTAACAGCTGACGGAATGTCTGCCAGAATCACTTACTTGGGCAAACTATGAAGTCATTGTAAAGGTTTCTTGGTAACATAATTACTTTATTTAACATATATTCATAATCTTATTTTTAAAGAGAACCCATATCATCTATTGTCGTGCAAAAGATGGATCGAAATGTGATTAAATGCTCTGGCTTAAGATGTAAATGAGCTGCTCGAGTCAGTCCACACAGTTGCGTCATCATCAGCTGCTCTTCTCTCAACCAATCTAATCATCCGGGATCGAAAGGCGAATGGGTAGATCCAATATATCTCTGTACTCGCATACTATCATATTGGGATGTCCTAACCATGAGAAATGTTTGGTTGACGAGGTATTCCCTTTACTGGAAGTGGTATGTAGATAACAGTATTGATTTAACAGGTGCACTGGCAAAGGTGTCTTTTTTATTTTCAACTACTTTAGTCTTGTAGTTGTGATGTCAACTGGCTGTAAAATCCTACTCGTTGTGGTGGCTTGTTATCAAACTAACATCGTATATTTCTTTATAATTTTTTTAGAATTGAATGTCCTAGAACTTATTGCACGGGATTATTGGTTATTCCTTTTTGATTTTGTTTTCTTATCTATTTGACTTGCACTTGTTTTTGCTATGCATATTGTGCATTGTGGCTCTTTAAGTTATCAAAATATGTTGCAATCTGATGTATCCTCGTGAGTATTGTTTCCCTATGTTAAAGAGGAAGAGGGCTGTACTATTTCTGCTTGCAAGTTAGTAATCCTAATTTCGTTAAAATATAAATAAATAAATAAAATAAAATAAAATTATGATGCAATCTCTGGTTGGAAATACTATTGCTGGAGATTGGGTTGTCTAGAAGGTACTAAACCAAGACGTTCATTAGTCGAATACTGATTCATTTTCCTCTCTGGTTGTATTTGACAATAGGAGTTATAGCGAAGATGGCGACCAGGGGGTGATAGAGAGGTAGGTCACTAGCAGTCGTGGTTGGAGGATGTATTGGAATCCTTTTTGCAGTCCATGGAGCGGAAACGGTGATGGAGGAGGGGGTGGTGGTGGAGGAAGGGGTGGTGATGGGGGCAGAGGCGAAGGAGAGGTGGCCCCGTTAGGGACGGGAGCGGTGGTGGAGAAGAGGGTAGGGACGGGGGCGGAGGAAGAGGCAAGCCTGGAGGAAGTGGAGGTCGCGGCGGTGGTGATTCCTGAGGTGGACGAGAGGAGGATGACCGTCGTGACTGAAGCTAAAAAGCATGCTGTCGACGTGCCGGAGTTGGTGGTGGGCAAGAGCCCAAGAGTGTCGTCACATTACATCGTCTCTCCCTTCACGATTGAGACGAATAGGAGGAGGTTCGTCGACCGGACGTGCCCCAATCTGTTCCAGGAGGTCGACCATGCCAAATGGTAAGCATTCGAGACTGAGTGGCAAAAAGTATTACCCAAGTAAGTATTGTATGATTTATATGACTGATACTACAACTTAGTGTTGCAAAGTGGAAAAGTTTACCTCCTATTCGATATTAAGATGGTATAAAAAACTTTACAAAATTTGATCTCAGTTATTGTTCTTCGAAGAGTGGTCTCTTACTGAACTTATACGTGGTAGATCTGTTTGTCCTTACAGTGGTGATGTTTATTATGGTTCTGAATATTTGTGTAATGGATTCAGGTTTTGAGTTGAGAAAACTATTCAAAATTGTAAGAGCTAAACTTCTATAGAATAAATCTATCCAAATTTCTTTTTGGGCTGTGATTAAGTGAGATAGAGATGAAACTTCACTTTTCATTACATTTATAAATGGATTCAAGCATTTCAGATTCGCCTCTGATTTTCTTAAGTTGAAAATATTGTATTGGTCTAAACTTTTCTGAAGTCAAGTAGAAAATCAGATTGTGGAAATGAAGATTTTGAGAATTACCTGATGACATGAATCTCTATCACGAGATATCAATGATCTATGTAATGAAAGAGATTCTTATTTGATAGACTACTCATTAATCACTAATAATTTTATGGTTTATTTGATTGAAGGAATGAAATATTGCTGAATATGATGAGGTTTGAAATATACACTCTAATTTACGTATTTGCTTTTGGAAAGAGCGTTGGCTAACTATAATGTATCAGTTAATGGAGTTCTCTCAATATTTGTACCTTCAGAATATATAAGTTTTGGATACGTAGATAACAAAACATAGGTTATCATAGACTCGTAATGGATTATATATGTTCTCAATAATGAGTTTGGGAACATGAGTTTATTAAGAACGAGATGTGTCTTAGTGACATACATGTGGTCTAAAAAGGTACTTAAGTGAAATTTTGGATGGATATCGAGTCACAAGATGTGACATTTGACATTTTAGCTAGTAAAGGAGAAAAGATTGGGGAACATCATTGAAATTGATATTATATGTATTGATTAATCAGTTTTGAATATATAAGAGTTGATTCAAACTTCTGATTCAAGTCGGAGTAATCTGTTTTCGAGGTCGACCTATCTATTCGAGTGGGAGCCATCTAAGAATTATCTAATTTCAATGACTCTTGGTTTCGAGTGGGAGCTATATAAACAGTTGTCTTCATCTAAAAAAAATCAAAATCAAAATCAAAATTTGGAATCATATGTTTGATTTGAACTCAAGTTCTAAGTCAAATAGGTTCCTCAAGTCACCTTTTCTTCTCCACTTAAATGGCATCAGATTCTATTCACCCTTTCTTCTATATACATATACATGGATTTAGATTCTTTTCCTTCCAATGAAAAGTACTGAATCCTCCATATTTTAACTACCCATAATTTATTTTCAACCTCATCGGCTAGAAAAATATGTCAGAGGTGTATTTCCGGGGAGATAATGAAGGTGCAACTGCTCTCCTTGGCCGGAGTTCTTGTTCTCAGCTTCACAGGTATATTTGTGTCCTGTAGACATATGAATCTAATTATATTTTTCACTTATACTATGATGAACCTGTTCGCAATACTATGAATTCATCGTATTAACCACGCCCTAGTTTCCTAGGTCGTATATGTCTGAGGAGGGCCATTTTTTCGTGCGTTATCTGCAGTATGAAGTAAATATAACTGTTACGTTAAGGGTCAGCCACTATAAATGCATGCTTCTGTTCTTAGTTTCATTCATTATGACTCTCAGGATTGGGTTTAGAGTTTAATCCCTACCATATATTATTGATTACAGCGGAAAAATGCCGGCAGCTGGTGGGAGAAGAGCATTCTTCAAGAAGCCGGACAGAGAGATTTACATTCATTAATTGCTTTGACACGAGGTATGGAACCATAGCATGCATATTCAAGGAGATGATAAAGCTATATTTGTACTACGTCAGAGCAGTCCATGCTGAGAATGTAAGAGGTCAAGTATTTGAAAAGGCATTGTTGGATAAGTTTTCAAAGGGTCAGAATATGGATCAGGCGATGACGGGCGCGCGTGAAGAAGGAAACGCGGCCGCGAAAAGGGCATCCCGGCAAGCAAAGCATGTGATGGGGCCGATAGTGGCTTCGGGATGGGATTTGTTTGAGACACTGTATGTTGGGGGGTCTCTGGCAGAGGGACTGGTTAGGAGTGGTGGAACATTTATCGGTGCCTTCGCCGGAGGACTAGCCGGGGAAGGGAAGATTGGGTGGTTGGGTTCTGTTATGGGAAGCCAAATGGGAAGCTGGACGGGTGGAAGGATTGCGCTTATGGCGTATGACGTCGGGATTGGCTTGCAATATTTGCTTCACAGAATGCCTTTCCTCTCTTGAATAGCATTCTCTCATCTCTAGAAGAGGAGCTTCGGGCCTTGTCAAGAATTCAGATAGCTTGTTACTTCATCTTTCTCTTCCCTGCTTGAGGCTTTATTTTGTTCAGTCTTCTCTCTTTCAAACTCCCTCAACTTGTGCAAGTAGTTTGAAGACAGATAAAGAATTTAATACAAATGCGATATGAATTTATAACATCTGTTTCTAGAAATGGTTGGGAAGCTTGATAGTTTGCTGCCTATAGCCAACGTGAATGCCAAAATTTCCATACATGTAACCGGTGAAGCCCTTGTATGAGCCGCATTTTGTTGGGGGAATGTATTTTTTAATAGTGATTTTTTTAATAATTTATTGTTAAAAAGTAAGAAAAAGTTCTCGATTTACCTTTAAAATTATTTTATTGGAGAATGTGTGTTTGAAAATGAATTTTGAATTCTTAAATAATAAATTGAACAAACAAACAAAAAATCAATGTTAAATTCGGGGATGAATTTCTCCGTCACTAATTTCTGCCAACATTAGCGACGAAGGCAAACAAATTGATTTTTTTAGGCCGCTACCTGAATATAGGAAGATAGCTTGAAGCAAGGTGCACCAATCAAACATTACATCAACTCCGGAGGCGATTTGTTTAAAGCAATAAATACAAACATCGATCATAATGAATGGAATTAGAAATATAATTTTCAACGCTATGGGCACAATAAAGTAATAATCAAGCCAACTAGACACGAAGGCGAGCTAAATTTTGCATATCCAACATAAAAAGGATCCATCTACTGTTATTTCTGTCTATTTAATTTTAGTTTACATCAAGGTACCACACCAGTCACATTGAAATACAGTATAACCAACGTGGGCCAATCACATTGAACCAAACGTTAGTCAGGCCCACTGAAATTAATTTTTGGGCGGACAAGTCTTGATATCTCTATCTCTCTATTAAAAAGAGGCCTTTTTTAATTTTTTGAAAAAAAACGATTTTTTAATAGTAATTTTTTGGAGAATGTGTGATTAAAAAGTAGTAAAAAAATTTTAAATTTAAGTGCCAAATATTTTATTTTGAGAATTTAATTGAAAATGAATTTTAGAAAAAAAAAATGAATTTTTGGAGAATGGTAGACATTGTGAGAAATAATAATAATAATAAAATAAATAAAGGTCCATTCAGTCCAAACTAATAGCATGGTCTCCAGATTCGCTCCTCGTCTTCTTCATTTGTCATTTTATCCAACTCTTTACCCTTCACCTACTCTCTGAAAAAACAAAACATTTTCTTTATTCGCCATAGAATTCCCACCTACCGACCTATCTCCAAGTCTACCATTATAAAGCTAAAAGCTTCGAACTTTTCATCCTCCCACTTCTGTCATGGCTTCCTTTTTCTGTTCTACAAATTTTTTTCTGCTACTTATTCTTCTCTCTGCAGTTCCTGTAGCGTTCATAATTCATTTAGAAACTTCTAAGCCCGCCACTCATGTATACGAGTATCACAGCACCGGGTGGTTCAGGGAGTGCACCAAGTGGGACGACGTTAACAGCCGATTCCTGGTCTCTTTCATGGAGGGCGGCTTTGGGGAGGTTCCGGTACCGAAAGACTATGTTCCGGGAAAGATTTTGAAGGAGATTCGGGTGGTTGAAAACGTGGGTTTAGGTAAGAATTCGTCGCTCGGGTTCGTAGTGGACCGGCCGAGGAATCGGGTGGTCGTATCCATCGCCGATGTGATTGGGAATTTGTACAGTGCGGTTGCGGCCTATGATTTGACGACTTGGGAAAGGATTTTTCTCACTAAGCTCAGCGGCCCAGGTGAGTTTGTATTAATTACAATACCTTTAGTAACTGGAAGGAAGCAAGTTTTTGGCGTGTGGTGCACAATCATTCAAAAGTTAATTGGAAAATTTGTTACTTATAGGATTGAATACATACTTAGATGTTCGGTGTACATTTGATGACTTTTCGAAGTATGTGTTATTATATGAATCAAGAATGTGTTAAAGACGGTAGCGTGATCCGTGAAATAATCTATTCTGGCTTGGATTCGTTCCTACATAATCGGAAATTTTTACCTCTTTAACTGATTTATTTTTTGTTGTGGCGATGACTTAGCCGAGCAACTAAATTATGATTGAGAACGGAGGTAGGGACGAAAATTTTTAAGTTGATATGGTACAGAGTAGATTATGGCATCCGAATGAATTTGATCTGTACTTTCAACTAATACTGCAGCATTCATTAATTTTCGCTTTCAATTGGCCAACAAAAGCAGTTGATTCCATATGGTGGCTCCCTTTTAATTTATATAATGAATGATATACTGATAGACTAATAAGGTTATGGTTCACATGCTGCGGCCATTTTTATTACATATAACTATGTAAGTGAAACTTTCCTTCGAGGCAGGGAATCATGGGATTTTGTGAAGTGCTCCAGCTTCCTTGTAATGACCGCCCTTTGTGCTGTGTGTGTGTGTCGTTAATCTGTTATTCATCAACCTTTCTAATTATCTTAAAAATGATTATGGAATTGATATTTCGTCTTCTTTGATTATGCAGAGGATGGAAAAGCGGTTTCAGATGATGTAGCGGTTGATCCAGACGGTAATGCATATGTAACTGATGTAAAAGGAAGCAAGATTTGGAAGGTCGGAGTGGATGGAAAATTCTTATACCACATAATTAACCCACTTTTCACTCCAAAAGGGTGGTACAATAATCTGGTTGGACTTAATGGAATTGTTCACCATCCAAACGGATACTTGTTAGTTGTTCATACATTTTCCGGGAATTTGTACAAGGTTGAAATTGATAAGGGGGACGAAGTGAAGTTGGTTAAGATAATTGAAGGTTCTTTGAAATTCGGGGATGGATTGGAGTTGTTATCTCCGACTAAGCTTGTAGTAGCCGGAAACCCTTCAAAGTTGGTCGAGAGCTTGGATGATTGGGAGAGTGGCTCTGTTGTGGCCAAGTTTAAAGGTGCTACTCATCGTTTAGTTACTGCAGCAATGGTGAAGGATGGGAAGGTATACCTAAACCACCTTTTTGGTTTAGGGTATCCTAAGAGAAAGCATGTGCTTGTTGAGGCTGATTTTTCTGGTTAATTGAATGTGATGTTGTTTTAGGTGGGGGTGGAGTTGAAGGGTTATTGTTGTTTTTCTTCTTGTATTTTTGCTTTTTCGCACGTGTGCAGTACTATTTGAGTGTTAACCGTAGGGATGCGAAAATTTTACGTCTACACGTATTATACATGTATACCTTTTTCAATTTTTTATGATTGTTGGAGTAAGTTTTTCATTGTTAATTTTGTTTTGCTACGGGTTAACCCCTTGACCCTCCCTAAGAAAGTAATAATAAACAAAAAATGAAATCGGAGGCAAAATGGACACATGGATTTATGGTAATTTATCATCATTGTGAGTTATATTCATTAAAGTGAGAATTATCTTACACCTTACTTCCTAATAAATCTTTTATACAATAGAAATATTAGAACGACTTGATATGCCTTCAACACGTTGGTCAAGAGTCTTAGAATTGGTGGTTGCGTTAAATACCCAAAATGGACAAAGAACTGTGTCAGAATTGTGAAGTGGTTTCACAAAGTCCACCTCTGAACACTGGAGCTTTCAAAGTTGAAATAGGAAATGATATCAGCATCACAGCATGATCCAGAAATTGCCATGATGACTTAATTTTCTTGGCGTTCTTGGTTGTGATTGATTGAACCAGGAAAGTAATTGCGTACTGTAAAATATTAGAATTACCTCTGTAAGATCATGGGTTTGTTAAAATCTCATTTTCCTACTGCTTTCCTTCCATGAATGTGTGTTTATTTAAAATTTGTAACAATAAAAAACCAAAAGGATAGATTCGGAGAGGTTCTCAGGCCGATCTATATTTGATTATCCCTGAAAACACATCACTTGGCACGAATTTATAGACAAATTACCGTCAACATACATCCAAAATAAATACAAATAACACTATTTTATCTCTTTTCGTTGTTGTCAAGTAAAAATTACTTGTATGCAAGTACAAATAGTTGATCATCCAGAATCTGAACAAATATGAGTGGGAAGTGTGCTTTTCTCCAGAAATTAAAGGTCTGTTCTCTTTACTGTTTTCAGGTCGTTTTCTGTTTTTAATTTTTCGAAATGATGAAAACGTGTTTTCTTTCCTATTTTCGAAAAAGAATTTTTGAAAACAAAAAAAAATTTGTGAAGGAAACTCAAAACGTCAGATTTTTGAAGCAAAAACATGCTGGAAATCCAAAACACGGGAAACGCCACTTCTTCAATTTCCCCCAACCTAAATACCGAGGCAAAATGAAATCTTGGCCCCTGCCTCCTCTTTCTTCTTCCTCTTCCTCTTCTTCAATCTCTCCTCGAATTATTTTTTCTCTGATTCCTCAAAATTGTATATCATCTTCCTCTACCATCCCAGAAATTATAGATGTACCCAGTCCCAATCCTTCTAGTATTGACACGAATCGAACCTCGGAGTCCAAAAATTCAAGCAAGATCAAAACTTCTGACGGAAAGAGAATCCGTAGGCAAGATCAAAAACTTCTGACCAAGCGAACCTCGGAGTCCCAATCGCCGTCATCGCCTCCTGTGTGAAAGAGAATCCGTTGTTCTTCATCTTCCTCTCCAGGCCGAACCCGCTTTCCTCCGAGGTCTGCCGCTTCCAGTTTCTTCATCTCCCATTCATCTTCACCATTCGATTATCTCGTTGCTCTCTTTCCTGATATGGAAAAGTAAGTTTTTTAATTTATTATTATTATTTTTTCATTTTAACTCTGTTATTGGTTTTTGCTTAGTTTTCAATTTATTTTGTGAGCAAAATTGTTACTTTTTTGTTGGATTATTGAAATGGGATTACGTCATGATTGATATCAACGTAATTTCTCATCGGGGATAAAGACAGTTTTGCTATGATTTGGATTGTTTATGTGATGATTGTTGACCATTAAGTTGTTATTTAATTCAGGACGATGCACATATTCCATTCTTTGGATAGTATTGATGTTAAGTATTGGAAATTTCACTCACGTCCTGAGCATATAGATGACAAATGTTGTTATGGTTTTATTGGAATATACGATGCATTGCCTTGATTTCTGATTTATATATACAAGTTAGTACTTGGGTATCAGATTAGTCGCAAGTTAGTGATTGAGTCAATAATAAGCTCGTCATATTCATGGACCAAAGCCGAGCAACTCTAGATAATAAGTTCCTAACAGAATCTAAATCCCGGAATTACTCCTAATGAAAGCACAAAACTTGTAATGCTCCTCTAGGCTTGTTTTGTTTTCCGTCTATTTTCTATATGCCCAAATAAAGCTTGGCTTTTCTTCTTTATATGTTGTACTTGGCTACTCCAAGCTCTCCCCTCCTCGTTGCATGTGATTTGTTGAATGATGTTAGCTTTTTTACCTTCGATTTTGGGGATTAAATTATAAATAAGATGAAATATGTTATTGTATTAGATGCTGTATAATTTTCATTTAGTGATTCTGGTTTTTGGAATTGTGTCATTGAGGCAGAATAACATTTCCCCTTCCACCATCTTTGTTCTTTCTTTACTTTGTGATCTTCACAAATTAGGCTGAAGGTTCCTTCAGTTTCTACCTCATCAAATTGGCATCAATAATGAAGTTTTTAATCACTAGGATCGGTCTTGGATTACTGTATAAAGTGTTTCCCGAGTTCACTTTCTTCATATATCTGCACCAATTGATTTTTTTAGTTCATTTTGCTGTCTTTTACAGCTTCACAATCATTTCAAGGAAGATACTTTCATATATGGCAATTCTTGAAGATAACCAGGAGCATGGGTGGATAGAAAAAGTGAAATTTGCTGGAGATAGGTCTCATTATCAGATGAATGAGAATGAATTCAAATAACTAGGAATTGGCAAACACTTACGTATTATCACAAGTCTGATTATGTTGATCATTGGATTTAGACTTTATTCAATTTTTCTCCTTCTTTTCAGTATGCATGATAGTTTTTGTGAATTATTCATTTGTTGCTAAAAGCTCTTATCAGATACACTTGGGAACATTATTTCGAACCAAAGTTTACAGAGTTTCTTTATTCTTCTTGATCCTAATTGCTCTTTAAGTAGGTTCCTTTTTTCTGTTTTCATGGGGATTGCATATTCCAAATGTGGGCTTTAATTTTAATCCCATACTATTTCCTTCTACGGGTGAAGTTTGTGATAGTTAGATTATGTGCCTGTCTTCATATTCCTCATAAATCCCTAAAATTACTGAACTGAGAAGATTTACATTCCTTTGATCTGTATTTTAACATCTCTCTTCATTAATGTGTTGACATATGACCAAACTATAGATAAGGGAAGCAGAAGCAACATCTTCGAATCAGCAGAAGAAGATTGAAGAAGTTGAAGCTCAACTCCAGGAACCAGAGGATATTGTCAAAGATCTCAGAGAAGAGTTGAGAGAGGTACAGGGTGAGCTGGAGCGGGTGAAAAACAAAAACATGCTGCTAGTAGATGAACCCGATTATATTCTCTAACAATTTTAATTTTTTCTTTAACATTATCAATTACATTACTTTACAAATGTATTATTTGCCTCGAAAGGACAATAGACTTTTGAAGTAATTTGTGTGCCTAATGTTTCAATCAAGACAAGTTTTACATTTCACGAACATGTTTCATGTATTTGAATTTCGACTTTTGTTAGTGGTGGAATGGAAAATAATTACATATAAAATTGGTTTTAAGAACTTCAAAGGCTATATTTGGCTCATATTTATAAACACTCAAATCATTTTTCACCACCTTCAAAATTTATATGTTATTTAATACTATATTAACATTAAAATATTAAAATTTATTGAATAATCAGATTTCTTGAATAAAATATTATAAAAAAAACATTCTCAAAATTTTAACGTAAACGTGTTTTTCAGTTTTATATTTTCAGAAATTGTTTTTTAAAATAATAAAAAGAACGAATTTTCAACAATTTCAAAACAACCACTCAAAACACAAAACTCAAATTGAATTCATAATTCAAAACTACAAAATTGAAACACGAAAAAAACAACCCCAAAATCACTAGTACATTCATCTTGTACATTTCGGTTAACAATTCATAATGTGTAAAAAATCTAGCCATTAATTTGAATAGAGTAATGCTATTGATAGTCGTCTACTATAATAATTGCCTTTTGCGCATTAAATAATCACCTGCTATATTTATTCCACGTAGGACGACTTCTATAGAGAGAGACTACAATTAACAATTATCCATTGGTACAAGTGTTATTCAAATAAGTGGCCAGATTGCCTGCCACATCATGATACGTTAACTAAAATTGTAAGTGGAGCAAAATTCTCTACCATGTAGGCCAAACTCTTATTTTTGATATCTGTAATGGGGACAGTTTTCCATCTATTAGTTTGAAAAACCGTTTCCCTTTACCGACGCGATGCATTAATGAAACACACACACAAATATTACAAATTAAAGATGGTTCAGCCATGAATTTCATAAATGTTGTCCTAAATGGGATTATGTGAGGAATTGCCTATAACCACGGACAAACAACCATGACGATGGCACCTCATCAAGATTGGTGCTTCTTGGCTCGGCCTTGAGGAACTGGTGAACCATCTCTCTTCGAACCCTCAGGTTTCCGTGCCCATGCAGGTGCTTCATCTGGACCATAACGATAATCGTAGAAGAGTTCTTTACCAGCTTCAATATGCTCATTGGCAAAAATGCCCACACGATGATCACCGGCCACTGACATGACCTGCAGAAACGATCCTATATCAGCTCAATTACATCATAGAAACTGCAGTTGAAGATCATTGAAAGATGAACACCTTCGCGTAACAGTTTGGAGTGGACGAGTGATTTGCAAATTTCAGTTTGTCGCCATGGCGGCCGGCATCAAGGACATACTGCATACAGAACACAACAATGAGATCTCTGTTTTGGTTTTACTTAACTTAGTAATGAGAGAGAAGGGACATGAAAATGCTAACAGTGAATTACAGGATGTGGAGAGTAATTACTATAAGCCTATAACACGGTTAAAAACCCTTATTGGGATACAACGGATAATATTCAAAGATATCAGAATATCCTTAAATGAGAGACTTCACTTGCCTGATCATTCAAGTCGAAAAGGAATGATGAATTTGCACGATCATAGATTTTTCCTCGCTTATCTGCTTCCCGGTGAGAGATTAATTCACCAGTATACTCTCCCAAGTAATCATTTTTACAGACAGAACTCTGCTAATACATGTCCAATTTACCATGAAAACTTCACAAGCAACCAACAATAGGGATAGAAAAGCACACATCCTTTCGTACCTTTAAAAAGGCTCCCCAACCAGCAACATCAGACTTTGCCAAGAGAATCTGACACAAAGAGGATTAGACAGCCAATTTGAAGAAATCAAATAAAGAGAGATAGATGAGTAGAAGATTCAAAATTTTACCCTTTGTTGCTGCCTGAGAAGGAGCCTCATATTGCCACATTGACCTTCTCCTCGCCTTGCTGGTTCACCTAGTGAACCATCACCACAGCTGCAAAAGTAGTAGAAAATTTTCTGGATGGCACTCATTGACAAACGGTACCAACTACAGTAGTTTTTTTTCCTTTTTTCGATAGATGAAAAATTTTCTGGAGGCACTCATTGACAAACATTAACAACTACATTAGTTTTTTTCCTTTTTTTGATAGATGATTACAGTACAATTTGGCCCAAATAGAAGGTCAAATTGGTACAGTATTTCTAGTTTATGCAACAAATGCACATCCCAAAACCAATATTGCTTTTTCTTTCCTTCTCCATTAAAGCGTCTTTTATATGGAGATTGGCACTGCTAAAGGTGAAAAAATTTATTCCAGTGATAAAATGGCAGTGACTTAGTGATTAAAAAGTAAAAGAGCTACTAATGCAATCATCAGTGTGAAGATGCCTACAAGATGAGCTCTTTAAGGTGAAAGAAAATGGTTCCCTGTGAAAAAGAAGTAATATATATAGGTTCCTAAATGAGAACTCCATACCTAACCCAGCAATTTCTGCAAACATCTGGGTCGCATTCACGTCCAGCGGCATAACAAGGACATTGTCGGCTTCTGCATTGACTCTTAGCACAATGACATCCTCTGAAACGATTTTTGCAGCTTTTTGAGCACCTGAAAAAATTGAACAGCTACAGGTTAACCTCTTATTTCACTCAGATTCATCAAGTTGCAAGTGCAAAAAACCTACATGTTAGTGTTAATGGTCCTACAAACTGAATCTACTTATCTTTTTCTAACATCTCACTGTCCCTTGAGCATATTATGAGGGTGTTGTTAGGTGGGGATTAAAATTAGATTTTTTAGTAGATTGTGATAGAAATTTTTGAAATGTGTGATTAAAAGTTGTGGAACCCATGAAAAATGTGGTTAATATTGAATGTCTAACTTTGACTTAAATTAAGGTAAGATTTTAATTCAAACCAAACAGGCTCAATATATCCTCAGAAGAATTAGCCCTTGTTAGATAAAACAATGATAAAACTTTATTAACTTTTCAGCTGGTCAAACTTCAAGTTCAACCACACATTTAATTGAACCAACAGTTACCTACTGAATCTATATTTAGAGTTATGTTCCAAGCTAAAAGCATGTTAAGCAAACTTACCATTTATAGTGAGTTGCAGAAAACTGGATGAACAAGCATATTACAAGAACAACTAAGCCTTATTCCCAATAAATTTGGGGTCGGCTACATGAATCCTTTGTTTTCATTTCATTGTTTCATTGCTACATCTAGAAGATCCAATGCACCTAGACACTTTACTAACACATTAAGCCATGTTGATTTTGATGTATGATGCGGACATCACTTATATTATTATCACACTATTTTACCTCTTCTAGTTATTGGGCTTGTATTATTGGTTTGGCCCAAGTCCATCACTTGTAGGGTTATGCTTTTACTATTTATATGGTTTTCAGTTGTAATTTCAGTAGACGATGATGAATTAAAATTGAAATATTGTTTGGCTTGCAGCCGTTTTCTCCCTCCTCTCTCTTCCCCTGGTTTCTTCTCCTCTTCTCCCTCCTCTCGGTTTCTCTCCTTCTTTTCCCTGTTTTCTGCTTCTCTCCTTCTTCCTCCCCTCCTCTTCTTGCTTCTTATCCTACATCAAAGTAGTATCAGAACTAAACCTGGTTTCCTTCAACCATTGCTCAAAACCAGTCGATTTACTCTTCTGCCATCACCGCTGCCACCACAATCGGGAAACAGGCCCAATTCCCACCATAACCACTGCTGCAACTCTCCCACAAAAAAAAATCTCCACCAACCTGCAACAAACCCCCACATCATATTCTCCACACTTCAAACCGGCTACTGCAAAGCCTCCTGCCCGTAATTGCTGAATATCAACTACACCACGACACCTAAATAAACTACTACAAACAATAACCACCCCACACACGATCTACAAAACCACCACTGCTACCAATCATCACCAGAAACTACCACCGTCAACGCTACAATCCTCCCAAACCTACGACTTGCAATTCGCACCATCGCCATTGCTCCATAATAGGCAGCAGTCACACCACAATCACACAAATCCCGAGTCTTCTTCCACTTCATCGACTCGTCTGCCATCTCTATCGCCGGTCAACACCTGTGACGGCATCTCCGGCGTTCCAAATTGGGTTGCATCTCGCCGGCAGCCCTAATCATCATCCCATAACCTATTAACCAGTAAATCTCAATACCCACTAACGCAAAGCCACTGTTGCACACCTAAACCGCCTTCGGGCATCTCCATCACCGTCGCAAATCAACCACCAACGACTGCTATCTCTCTCGCCGGCAGACCCTAAGTTATGCCCGATTCTTGCTCGATTCTCTCCCTCAACGTAATGGATCGCGCCTCAGTTTGTTGTGTGTTCTGGAGAGTGGGTCTTGATTATTATGTATCCAGTACTATGGAATGATTGGTAGTTTGGGCCTCTATTAGTATTTGGGCCATTTGGCCCCAGTTTTGTTGTCTGTTTTTTATTAAAAAAAAAGTATTTTCTAACATTGTTTTGCAGATACATATTCCTATTCTGTTGATCAGTCCAGTCGCTTCGATGAACAAAAAGAGGAGTTACTATTCTATTTATCTTTGGTACATTACTATTTATCTTAGAAATTGCATCAATTAAAATTTTGTGCTGCTACTGATCTAGTTGTTTATCTAAACTCACGTAATTGGACCCATTCACTTCGTTAAGTTCCACTTTTACCTCACTTATTTTACGTGATTAGAGTTTGACTAGTATTTGACCATTACTTTGCTATTTTACTTATACCAACAGTATTAGCTTGTTTTGGATTTTAATCCCAAAATTTAAATTTAAAAAAAAAAAAAAAGAATTAGCTCAAATTTTCATTTTCCATTACTTGCACTTTTTGTTCGTTGATTTCTCTATTGCATGTCATTAAATTGCTATTACAGTGCATGTAGTTACATATTGGTCATCTTATCACTTCTAGCTCCAGTACCTTAAACATGAACCCCTCACAATTCAATGCACTCACCCGACAAATTGCGGCTATTCAAACTCAAATGATCGCTACTCTTGAAGAGAGTAAGGCACTATCTGTTAGTTTGAAAAATTTTAAACACATT